CACTTATATACTTGTGCTTACACAAATGACTGAGACATGATGGTCAAAATATCTTTTGTATGAATGATACACCATATTCAAATTATTATAATTATTAAAAGTATGTTGCAGTTATCAAAAAAGTTTGAACCAAAAATATGTGAGTGGGAACAAATCTGGCTGTTGTAGCTGTTGTGTCATATGTATTGTAATTATTTATGTTATTTTGTTCAGGAAATAAGTGAAAAAGTTGAGTTATTGCATTTGAATCAGTACTTACGACAAAACTGTGGCGTTCTCCAATCCAGTACAGGCCCTCCATTGTTAGCACACTCAGTGGAGTAAAGCATCATGAGATCACACGAACATTCAGACCTCTGGGCATGACCTTCATTATTTACTAAACACTCACAAACCTGACGATGGCACATTTCAATGTAATGTTCTACATCAACGTAACCAAAACATCCTGCAAACTTAGCTGACCTAATGAAAGCAAAAATAAGCATATTAAATTAAAGAACAAACAAAATAATTCCAGACATAGCTATATAAAGTGCGATATAAAGAATTTAAAATAAGTGTATAATCTGAATCTATTTTCCCAATTACCTTAATACATTACATTGTTGACGAGCTAATTCTGTCTCCGCTGGATTATCAGCCAGACAGTCTGTTGGTGGTTCACAACCTTCCTGGGATCCCCAACTATCCCCAAACTCAGTAACGTCATCAGTAAGTGTACTATCTGGTTTAGTGTAGTCATCTTCGGCATCGCTATTTGGTACTCCACACATACCTTGTACCAGATTCTCCAGCTGATTACCAGTCTGGATACGACTCTCACCAGTGTTTGACCAATACACAACAAGACTGAAGTTTGTACGAATGATGATCTCAGATCCTGTTTTAGACAGTGATATTCCTTGACTATCAGTAAGGATACTGCTGATCACAGGAAGCTGAGAGACATGATGGAGGATTCCATTGATGTATAACGTGAAGTTTTTATATATCAATAAATCAGTATCGCGTATGTTGATTTCTAGATGTTTCTGACAATTGGTGCTCGGTTCAAATTCATCAAAACAGATCTTTTTCACTGTTGATTGAGAAAGAAATAAACATTTACAATGGCATTTTTACGTTTCATTACATGACTGAATAAAAAGGTTATAAACTATGATATGTACAGCAATTATGTATTAATTGAGTATAGATGTGTGAATGTACTTACCTCTAACTTCAAAGTCAACATTGTAATTTGGTTTATTCATCGCCATAACATGATCACACACATCATAGATGTACTCTTCATTGTCAAATGTTTGAAATGTATTATGGTACATTTTACATGTTTTGACACACGCTGCATTGTTACATGACAAGCTCTGATTTGCCATGCAGGTACAATTGCTGCAACCCTCTTCAATGTATGACTCCCCAATTGGGATGATTTCACCATTTGGACCTGTGCAGCCTGCAAAACACAAACAATTTATAATGGATGAATTTTAAAAGTTTGACACCATGTCAACAATCTAATTGAACTATTCTATTTTAATTAGAGGTGCATTGCCTTACCTTGTGGAGGGGCAGGTGTTGTAAGACAGTTCATTTCATCTTCACCCATGGGACAATCTATGTGTCCATCACATAGATAAGGATGTGGCACACACTGCTGATGACAGCTGTAGTTTGTAGATAAATGACAAATGAATTCATCCGCTGCACATTCACAGAATGGTTCACATCGACAACATTCACCTGCTGGGTGTACCAACTTATAGTCTTCTTGACATGACGTAATCTCGCAATGTTCGTGACATCCACTGACAACGCCGTTGAAACACGAACACGCTTCACATCTGTCGTTTATGAAGAAGCCATTTGGTTGAAGTTTGCCATTGTACATACATGGACAGTTTATGGTATCAACGCACTTGGTGCCATCGCAGCTTTGACCAAATGGACAGAAATCTGGACATCTTGAAGAATTTGTAACAGCACTGCATACTTGTAAAGATGGTTGTGTGGTCATGGGGGTGGTGATAACAGGTAGAAGAGCTGAAAAAGGGGTCAAAGATCAACACTGTATTATATCTTGTAATACTTGAAAATTCAATAGCATCATACCAAATATGGTATGACACATTTTACACAATTTATTATACTATGCTATAATCACAGTATTTTTTAATTACTACATGCTATAAATGAGAAAATGAAAAAATTGAATATTTCTTACTTGCAGTGGTGGCCACACCAGTCATATTAGTTACTCCAATAGTCGGTGTTGTTGCAGCTCCTACAATCAATATTTACAATTCTAGTTAAACTTAAAAATTGTAGTATCCAATATACAAATTTATAAAATATAATATTTTAACAGATATAATTACTATTTGCAGCCAGAAGCACCACAGGTGTTAAACAACAGGCAGACATTCATCAAGTAGTGATCAATAGCTGCAACCCTATTTTCAGGTTGAATGCAGAGACTATTGACACAGTGACCTCCTCTTTACCGGTAATTCTTTTCAATGACAAAGTCAACTTTTGTCATATTTTCACAAAATAAACCTGCCCACATTGTAAATTATGTTCAAAATTAATAAAGAAATTGCAGAAATTAAAACCTGCCCCGATTAAATATTTGAAAATTATGTGCAAAAAAGACATAAAAATGTAACAAAATTTTGCCGGGAAATATAAAAGATTTTGATAAAAATACCAGATTTGGCAAATGATGACTGTATAAGGGACAACGTCAAAAGATCGATGTCGGATAAAAAACTTAATTCCTTTAGTTTTTTCTCAACCCCCCCTACCCCCCCCCCCCCCACTGAAACTTAATTGATAAATATTGGTCATGGCGTCAGACTACATTCACCATTAAATACAAATTGATAATCAGACAGTAGTATTGCATAACAGTTGGTTGTCTAGTGGGTGTAAAAAGATTTTACAAATGCACCTCATTTGACGCTCAGATTTACACTCGAATCAAACCATTTTTCTGTTCTTTCCCTTTTCGGTTATTTCTGTCCATGATTGGATAGAATAAAAACGAACTACAAATACTTCAAGATTTTTTTGACTTCATTAAAAAATAAAATCGTTTTTGTAGGATGGAAACTTTTTGAGGTCAAAACCCCCCATCCCCAAACTAAAGGAAATAAGTTTTTTATCCGACATCGATCTTTTGACGTCGTTCCTAAACTGATATGCTTACCACAGAGGCAATAAAAGCGGACTTCATAATCGTGACAAGTTCTATTCATCTGTTCGTTGTTATAACACTGTAAGCCGACATCTAAGTCACATTTGACATTCATATCATCTTTGATATCTTCATATGCAACATGTCCGTCAACAGTACGGCATTCCACGTCAGCTAGCATGTCAGAAGGACAGAACTTTAAAACATAACGCAACTCTTCAATAGTTTCAAAGTCGCCTTCATCAACCAAACTGCTATCTGGTCTATCACTGCTCATCCACTCAGTCCAGTAATTTTCCACGAGATCACACCCTATCTCTGGGGTAATTACACCAATGGTTGTATGGGCCTCAGTAGGTAATTCTGTGGGTATTGATGTGGTTGTGGGTTGACAGTCACCGGATGTCTTATTGAAGCAAGTGACCCTGTTATTGAAACATTGACAAACCCTGCATAGACCAATGTTCCATGTGTGACCAGGCTATTTGTGTAAATAAAAACAAAAAAATAAGTATACTGTTATAATATTACAATTCACAATTATGAAATATGAACGAGAGGTGTTTTGACAACTTAATAAACCCTTAGATTGTAAGGATAAGCTAGGAGCTGGGTATTAAACGATGTGATCAAGATAGGTTTTATGACAAGTTATATATATTCTGAAAGCTGACAAGTTATATATATTCTGAAAGCTGGCATTATAGCTTATCAAAAATATGTCATTTTTTTTTCATTTTTGGTCAAAAATAATCATGAATCAAAAATAAACATGAAGATTTTTCAACTGATTTCGTAATTTGTGTCAATTAGAATGTTTATTCCCCAATATAAGAAGGACAGTTAGGCATGATTGACCATCGTTGTGATTTTATTTTGTAGCTTCCCAAAAACCAAGAATTGATTTGCATAAAACAACAACTACATACCGGGATCATTTGCTGTGTGTCTTCCCTCCAACAAAAACATTCACTTTCAGGAAGACATTTCCATTCACCGTTTATTTCCATCACCCTAGTGTTGTCTTCAGTACAGAATCCATCTGGTGTCATAGATGACTCAGGAATACAGGCACTTATGTTGGCATCATCAACACATTGTGTTAACGTATTCAGCATAGAAGTACACAGTTGACTGCATCCAAATGCTGAGGGTAAATAAACCTGTCCTGGTTGGCAGATTGCTGTAAGGTCAATATAACAAGTATAATTAAAAATTACAATGCCAAAGTCACTTTTGTCAAAAGTACGTTCATTTGGTCTAAGAGTAACAAAGAAGTTACAGAAACATACATAAAAATGGGCAAAATGTAGAACCAAAATTTTGAAGTTTAAAAAATTAAACCAAAAATAAATCCACTAAGCAGTATGGGTGCTCTGCTAACATTCAATTCACACAGAAATCAAGCCAAGAATCAAGAATTCTGGATTACATCAGGTACTTACGAGTAGTTGTAGTAATTCCAGTGGTTGCTACGGTTGATGGTGTAGACAGGAGGGTAGTTGCACCAATACACGCACATCGAAACCGGACTTCATAGTTGTGACACAAACTTCCATTCTGCTGACTGTTGAGGCATTGCAAACCATCTGTACCACAGGGAACATTGAATTGCTGCCCAGTGACTCTGGAATTGGTGTGTGGAATACTGGCCAATCTACACTGTGCTTGCATAATCTCTGCATCTTCACAGAAGCTGTATTTGAGACGTAGTTGTGTTTTCAGTTCGTTATCGCCGTCTCCAGTTGTTGGTGTGTCAGTATTCATCCAGATTGTCCAACCATGTGAACAGACAACTGGAGGAATTGTAGGTGTAGTAATGCCAGGTATGGTGGTTACAGGTGTAGCTGTTGTTTGTACAGTTGTCACTCCCTCAGATGTAATTGTTTTGATTGTAGTATGTTCAGCCCCAGCTGTTGTGGAAACCTCAGTGACATTTCCTCCCACAGTGGTGATGACAGCTGTAACAGCCCCTTCTGGTGTTGTGGTCTTGATACTTGTTATGCCTTCACTGGTTGTTGTTTTTTCTGTTGTCACTCCCTCTGTTATTGTGGTTCTTGTAAAAGTGCTAAATCCAGTGGGAGTGGTAACTTTAGTTGTAACAGCACCACTAGGGGTTGTGGTTTCAATTCTTGTAGTACCTTCTGGTGTTACTGTCTTTACAGTTTTTCCAGCTGATGAAGTAGCAGTAGTTGTTGTTTCAGCTTCAGTTGTATGTGTCAGTGGTGGTAATGTTGTGGGTGCTGGTGTTTTTGCTGCATTAAAGAAAAAAAACATGCAAGTCAAAATCTAACGTTACACTAAAAACAGGTTGTAATCCGCAGTATTGAACAAAGGAAAATTTAAAATACAGGGTTCTTATTTAATTTTGACATACATGTATGTCACTCACAATTAAAATTTGTTTTCTAGAAATAGATGATGAGTACACTTACCACAAAGACAGTATACACTTATTGTGTAATCTTCACAGATTTGTTGTGGTCCTTGGCGGCTGTTCTCACAAATCAGACCATCTTGAATACTACAAATAACATCTTGCCCAGACAGTGAGCTATCAATACCGGTGTCTTTCACTCGGCAGCTGATGTTTTTGATTTCGTCTTCTTGACAGAATTCGTAACCTTTCCTCAGAGATACAAAGTCTTCAATGTCACCATCGTTGTTGCCAGTAGTTGGTAAATCAAAACTCATCCATTGCGACCAGCCATCATGATCACAGACTGGTGAATATGGAGTGATAATGGATGGTGTTGTTGAGGCTGGTAACGTTCTCTCTGTTGCTGATGTT